TTTTCTTTCCTCCCAATTGACAATTCTTATACTTTTTAATTTTTATTATTTTTGTTTTTTTTTGGTGCACATTTTTTTGGGTAAAATCCCCCCCCCCCCGCTTTTTTGGATGCCTTTGAGTCAGTGTTGACTCCCAGTGACTGCCTGGACTAGTCCCTGCAGTTTTCTTGGCAAGGTTTTTCGGAACTGGTTTGCCCTTGCCTCCTTCCTAGGGCTGAGTGTGACTGGCCCAAGATCACCCAGCTGGCTTTGTGCCTAAGATGGGACTAAAACTCACAGTTTCTTGATTTCTAGCCTGATGCCCTTACCACTATACCAAACTGGCTCTCCGGTATATCCCTATCCTGCAAATTATCTGGTTAACAAAATAAAGTCAAATGAAAAACACTGCAGGTAATACTTAAGGAAAAGAGAGAGTGTGGTGCGGTAGTTAAAGTACTGAACTAAAACTGGGGAGACCCTGGTTCAAGTTTACTTCAGCCATGGAAGCATACCGGTGGTATGAGCCAAACCATCTCCAAGGGTGGTGGTGGTGGTGGTGGTTGGCAAAAATTCCTGGAGGAAAGGCAGTATATAAATCTAAGAAATAAATAAAATCAAAAAGAATTTTACTTTCAAGCTCTACAAAGTTATTCAAGAAACCTACATATATGTAAAAATGTGCACTCTCTATACTCTGCTAAAACGATGTGTACAGCTACTAGAGTTCTAATTATTTGTGTTCAGGGTTCCTGCTCAGCTGCTCAAAGGCAAATCTCTGTAAACATGTTCAGCTCAACACAATTACAATTTGTCTGCAGATGCTGAAGTCACAAGTGGAGAGGATTGGAATATGTATATCCTGCATCCTTCTGCATGTTTGTGGTGCATGTGTGTGTATATGTGTGAACACTTTCATATGGCACAAGTCTCATCCAAGTCTGGGAACATAGAAGCTGGAAAATAAGAGAGCAAAACACACACTAAGGTATATAAGCTTGTAATTTCTCATATCTATATTGTAAGTACACACAGGAAATGAATATGAAAATGGACTGGAATACTAAACTCAGTTCTCCACGTTAAGCCATAGC